AGGGTTCTGGGATCGAGCCCCCCACATTGGGCTCCCTGATCATTGGAGAGCCTGCTTCTCCCTCTGCCTCTCCCCCTGCTTGTGCTCTCTCTCTCAAATAAATAAATAAAATCTCCTAAAAAAAAAAAAAGTAGCCATTCTTTTTTTTAATGATTCTACTACTATTCTAGATCCTTCCTTTTTTTTTTAAGATTTTATTTATTTGACAGAGACAGCGAGAGAGGGGACACAAACTTATCAATACAACATATGGGCATAAAGAGATTTCTTTATCACTGATCAGTAACTATTTTCATCTCTGCTTTGCCCTGAACAAGCACTATTTTTGTTTCCCACATTCTTTTTAAATCATTCATTTTTGACAAATACAACACAAACATGTACATATTACATAAATATACAAATTCTTTTATGCAAATATTGTAATGGAGAAAGTTTCAAATCATTGAGGCACAGAGAGAAAGAGGGAAAGCAAAACGACATGGTTTATATTACCTCTGGTCATTTGACCTACATAGTGCTCTTACGTTTTCTTTAAGGTAATTTTAACTGATAATGGTTACGATTCCACGTTTGTTGATAATAAGTGGTGAAGTTGGAGTACTAATAAGGAAGCTTCCTATTTTCTGTAACAAAAATAAAAGTACTTCTATTGACCCTAGCCTCCTTCCAGTAATTTTAAGGTGCAGATTCTGTGAGAATTGTCTACTTTGGTGGCTCTTGCGTTTTACTGTCTATGCACTATTCATGCACCAAGCACTCTTCTCATTCCAAAACATTTTTATTATATGGCAGTGATTATTAACTGGGGTGCCCACAAACTTATCCCTAGATAAGAAGTATTCCTTTTATTGAAGTCATACAAATTAATCAATTAACAGCTGGTTCAGAGGCTAAAGAAAATTGCTACAAATACTGTCAGAATATCTTTCACTAGGTTAGAGAGCTTAATGGTAGCTCATTTAGGCTCATTAGGAAAAAACTTGCCTGTTGTACAGTAAAGTATTTTACTGAAAAGCTCAGGCTTGAAGTTTATTAGGGAAATACTTGTGAAGGATTGTGCAACAATATGGTCTTTTTATAAATAGAACACAGGATTACACCCAGAATCACATCTGAAAAGCTAGTAACCGAAATCAAAGAAATAATAGGTCCATCAAATCAGGCTGAACTTTAAACTTTTCTGATGGTATTAAGACACCACTACCAGATGGGCTGCTTGCTTGTTTTATTATTTTTTTTATTTTTTAAGTAATCTGCACCCAATGTGGGGCTTGAACTCATTATCCCGAGTTCAAGAGTCACATGCTGTACTGACTGAGCCAGCCAGGCACCCCCAGTTGGACTTTATTTAATTTGGACCTTTTATTCAAATGTGCTGATAATATATTTTTCCAGTCAGAAAGTAGCCTACATATTAGAACTTTCAGTTATTTTTCTGAAATTACAATGTTTCTTTCCTTGAAATACCATGAATTAAATTGGATTGTGGCCTTTTTTGTTTACCAGGTTAGTAACTTAGATCACACAGTGCACTCATTATTTTCACTCTTGATGACTTCCTATAGGGAGTAGTATAGTTATTTAGTGGGAGAAGGTCTACAATAAATTTATCATCTGCTTTCAATTTGATAAGATTTTGCTTGCATGGCATTCATTGTACATCTTCATGAACTTGATCTGGAATTTTTAGCCACTTAAAATCCTAATTCAGGGGCAAATTGGTAAGCTCCAATTATCCATATAGCAAACAAATATTATCAGCTTTATTTTGGTAGTATTTAATAAGATATAAAACAGAAGACTGCTTCTAAGACTTCTAAGTTATGTTTTAGTTTATCTTCTCACAGTAAAAGTTTACCAATAGAAGCTTAAAAATTTCTCATTCTACTTTATTTCATTCAACCTCCCATTTCAGAAAGCTCATTGAAAAGTATGGTAAAAGGAGAAAAGATCTCTCAGTTCAAAATCTAACTTAGTATTATAATAAAGTTTATAGATGCTAGCTTACTCTTTGTCCCTACAAGCCTTTGTTTGAAAATACATTCCACTGGAAATTTGCCATTTTATTACCATTTACCCTACCATCCCTACTGCCATTTCTAGAGAAGTAGCCCAAGGTGAAGGCTTTTCTTCCCAAATTTCCATTGGTTCTTAAGACGATTAATGTTCATGTGGAATATTAAATAAAGAATAAAAGATCCAAAATGCAACTAGGCTTTTAGGTATTGAAGTAGAGCATGTTCAGCTTTTGGGTAACCTGAACCATGGCTAAGGTAAAGTCGGAATTCAGCCATAGTAGTCTCCCCAAGGTTGATGGAGACCAGTTTATTTAGTCACCTTTACAATCGGTACTCTTAGAGATAGTATTCCGTGAATGCGGCACATGAAGGATCTTTGGGATTCAAGCAGACTACATCTAACAGGTATGTTTTTAAATCAGTGGGATCCAGGCTCCAGAGAACAGCCATTAGCTATATAGAGCTTAGCAGAGCTAAAACTGTAACTGCTGGTTGAGGGCTTTGTCCAAATGTGGCAAGCCAAGATCATCCGACTCAGAATTGGGAAATAGTTTTTTGAGATAGAGCCTTTAGAATCAAGTCTACTTACAGTAGGCAGAGCTTCTGGTGAAAAAGTATTTGTGTGGCAGTTCAGAGATCATTGATAAAAGCTAAGATTCTTTATAAACATTGGCTGGCCATCATCTTTATTAACTTAGATTTTCCTTAAATAATAGAGGTATTAATGATAATGAAATAAAGTACTACTATTCTGGTATTACTAACTGAATATGTATAAAGAATTAAATATAGCTCTAGTCAACTTAAGTTTTAATTGTATGTCTGTAACTGTTCCTCATCTAACCCTTCCCTCAACCCACTAACCTCACTAAGGACTGACCAATGACTAGTATTTGGTATTATCTAGTAGATACTCAATAAACATTTCAAAAGAATGAGCATATAGCTCTGTGATACTTTGGGTTAACCCAGCTGGGGGAAAAAAAGGTAAGTAAGCAGATGAAAGTAATTCTAGGGGCACCTGGGTGGCTCATTTGTTAAGCATCTGCCTTCGGTTCAGGTCATGATCCCAGGGTCCTGGGATCGAGCCCCGCATTGGGCTTTCTGCTAGGCGAGAAGCCTGCTTCTCCTTCGCCTATTCCCCTGGCTTGTGTTCCCTCTCTCACTGTCTCTGTCAAATAAATAAATAAAATCTTTTTTTTTTATAAAGATTTTATTTATTCATTCATGAGAGACAGAGAGAGAGAGGGAGAGAGAGAGAGAGAGAAGCAGAGGGAGAAGCAGGCTCCCAAGGAGCAGGGAGCCCGATGCGGGACTCGATCCCAGGACCCTGGGACCATGACCTGAGCCGAAGGCAGACACTTAACCATCTGAGCCACCCAGGCGCCCTAAATAAATAAAATCTTAAAAAATAATAATTCTAATATGGATATTCTAATTGTGTTTATTTTGATAATTTATCTCTCAGCTAAAAAGTTGCCAAAGAATGAACCACAGAATCCAGGAGCAAATTCTGCCAGAGGAAGAGGAGTAGATCTTACTGAACCCACACAGCCAACCAGGAGTCAGTGTTGTAGTAACTAAACCTCCAGTTTGAACTTGCTGGAATATTCTTCTGCTTCCTAAATGTTAATGACCATGGAATTGGAGCATTTAACCAGCCCAGTATGACTTCCAAAAAGAAGAGACTTATGATAGAGTCAAGTTTCTAATACAGAATTATTTTAAGTGTTTTGAACTTAATTTTTAATAACATGCATGTGACCCTCTGACTAATGTTTCAGAAGTAGAAGGGAATGAGAGCTGTTTGGGTACGCTTGTTTCCTTGGACGGTTAGGGAATCATTTCTCATTACCAGGGATAGAGACAAAGGATGATGTAAACCCACAGTTAACCAGCCACTTCTATGTAAAAGATTTGGAACTTAATAATTTGGGCTTTTCAAAAACATTCTTTTTTTAGAAGGAGGTTCTAAAGATATTTATGCTTAGCTACAGTATTTGGGCAACTGGTAATTTCTCTTAGTATGCATATTTAAAATGTACATTCCACATTTTAACAAATTAACCACAAGAAAACAGTCCTGCATCTTCAGGGGGAAAAACACGAACATTTAGTGGCATCTAAATTATAGCCGGTCCTGGTATTTTTAGTGGGGTAAAAAAAAAAAGTCAAATGTAACCTCATCTTGTTTTAGGAATATGAAAACTGATAAATGCGTCTTAATGGATAGTGTTCCCTTCAAACATGTGAGCTCTTCAACAGAAATGAAACAAACCAGGTGTCTGTGATTTCTGTTTAATCACTGCTGGCCATTACATAGGTTTTGTTGTTGGGGGAAGGGAGGGAGCTTTTGTTCCCTTTGGACATGATATAGTCAATGCACTAACAATTATGTACATTCAAACTTGATTATTTTAAATTCGATCTTCAGCTGTACTGTAAATAGGGTACTGCACTGTAGTCTTCATATATGTTTATTACTTTCCTGTAATATTTAAGAGTTGCTTAAAAGTATACAAAATGTACAGTTACTAAAACAGCTAATTTTTCCTTTTCTCTCCCTTTGAAAGGAAGGGGCTTCAGTTGTTCCTACATGGCTAGAACCATAATAAACAATGTATCAGTAATTTGTAACCTAAGTATTACAGTATGTTAGTAACAATCTTGCAGCCTTGTTTTCCAAAGTTCATTTTATTTTGATCAGTTCAGTATATTGCACTAATTGTTTTAGGTATTTTCATTATATGAAACCTACCATGTGTCAGATGATTTAATCTATTTAAGTGTTGAACTGCTAGCAGAACTTGTACATTTACAGTAATTCAGAATTAGTAAGGAAAACAGTTCACCAGTGTTTAGTTTTATATTGAGGTGCTCAGGTTGGAATAAAGTGGTATAAAAAGCAAGTACTGGTTTTTCTCTTTTTTGGCATGGAACAGTGAACATATATAAATGGTATTATGTAACCTAAAATATGCTTTTATAGTTTCTTTAATACATTCTTAAAAATTATTTGCATGGTATTGATGTATTGTCCTAATATCTGGTTCTTTGAAGAATTGTCTTTACATTTTTGTACTCTGGATAATCGAAACTTTATCTTTTGTCAGTCAGAAACTGATACTCACTTCCCTTGAGAAGTATTACCATGACTGTAATGTTGTCTCTGGAGCCAGCCACTAAAGCAGCACTTACAAGTTCATGGCTAATATATTTGGCTACACCTTCATAGAAATTTTTAGTGCGTGATTCTTTTTCCCTTGAATTTTTGGACACATCATCTACACTGGTTAGTCCATTAGTTTCTTCCTCACTGTAAAGATCATGATTAGTCATTTCTGGTGGAAATGTTCGTGCATTTTTAGGGTTAAAACATGTTGAATCAAACAAATTTTCTTTTGAATTTATAGTTGACACACATTCTGTAGATTCAGATTTATACTGAAACAATATATGGATATTACTTTCTGATATAGAATTGCTTGGTTCATAGATTAGGAAAGCCTCTTTGGATGGTAAAGATTCATTTTGTGTGTTAGAATAGTAGGTTTCTTTATACACTTGAAACATTGTCATTGCCAGTGCAGTGACTTCCTTTGTATCCAAAACTTCCCAGAGTCCATTAGTAGCTAAGATAAGGAATTGGCATAAGTCATCTATAGGGACCGAGATAGTTTGAGGTGCTGGGATAATAGATCTTTTCAGTTTGAGATTTCCATGAAATCCAAGTCCTCGTGTGGTTTTTATTTGCCCTTCTAGGAGCCCGTATGGTTCATTTGAACTAATCACTGCTCCGTTCTGAAGTAGCCGTCGTCTTTCGGTTATGTTTCGCGTAGTGTGTTCTTTGGTTATGCAAAAGCCTTTTCCGTTTCTGCATAAGACTGCTTGTACGTTACCTAGAAGATTATTAGAAAAAATTGATCTTAGATATTTAACCACCAATTGTATTATAAAGTATGCTCTTAACTGTATTCTGTGTTTCAGTGCATAAATAGGCCATTTTAAAATATTTTTTACATTTGTGAAATACTGATATTACTGGGCAACTTACGGTAATTAAGATTTGAAACTGGGAGGCCAGTTTATCCCTCATTTTTAAGTAACTCAGTGTTTAAAGTACTGCACTTAATATTAAAATAACTAAAACTACAGATACAAAATAACCATCGATTTTTTTTTTTTATGAATCAGCTTCTGAATATTTTATAGAGCCAAGAGTTGAACTTTTTTACGACCAACATATATTCCATAGAGCAGACATTTTTAAAATGTTTAAATAAATGCCTTTTTAATTAAAAACACAAGAATTGATTTTTTTAAAAAGTGGAGTTGATAGTTTTGTACCTGGTAAAACTTAAAACCTTAAACACATCTATATAGGTGTGGGCGATGAAGAAAATTAGAATGCCACTGTTAATGTCAGTCTTACTAGTTTCATGTTGTGTGATTAAAAAGAAATTAAGTCAATTAGCCCTGTAAAGAAAAAACATGTATTATTAATGTATTACATGGATAATAGCTAGACAACATTACATTAAACCCTTTGAAAACTGAAGTCTTAAAAGTTGATTGTAGTTTATTCATGGTTCAGATGAACCTGTGATGTGTGCTTCATTGAAATCTTAAAATCTAAACATAATCTGAACAGACTGAGGGATGGTTGTACTACCACAACATTTCTTTGGTTTATTAAAAAAGGATTCACAGAGTTTTAGTTTATTAGGAAAACAATTTTCCCCAAGTTTTTGGGAACATGATTGTATATTTAAGCATAAGCAAGTTTTTCTTGATATGGAGTCATCATAATTATTAAGAGGGTATATAAATTATTCTGAGATATGGGGTTAATGATGTTTGAATAGTAAGTACCTTTGAGAATTAAAATTCCTGGGATCATGCAAAATTTACATAAGAATATCTGGTTTCAAGCATTGTGCTAGGCCTGGAATCTGACTTTTGTTGCTACAGGGGTTCAATTCTAATCCTGTGTTTGAGGTAAAGAAATTGAGATTTCAGAAGGCTAAAGTTTACACAACTAGTATGGTTGGACCCAAAGAGCTTAAGTTGGTGAAGCATCAGTGTCAGGCATAGGCTGAGCCTATTGGCTCATTTACATAATGAGAATTATAAAGATGATGAATGTGGAAAATGTTTTTAAAACCAGAGAACTGGGTAAGTGATAGTCCGAAAAACTACATGACCTCTTTTACTTCTCTGTGGTTTGGTTATTAATATTTTGTATTAACTTGTCTTTTCTTCTGGTCATTTTACTTAAACTCTGCAGGAGGCAAATCGGTAAAATAATTCTTGACTTTTGCTGAGTTGTAAATTACTACTGTACCAGCAAAGCAGCATGGATTGGTAATGAACATGTCACCTGGGTAAATCGAGTGTTCTATTAGGAGGACATATGATTCAATACCTCTTTTAAACTAGAAAATTTCTATTATGTGTGTACATACACAGAAATAGTGCAACCATAGCTCTGAAAACACAAGGGACGTTATTTAGCTCAGAATAGTCAAATCTACTGACTTCTAAATGTTTTATTTGCATGTGGCATTTCAAAGCCCACTCAACAAAAAGAAAAAGTATTGTTCCTCTGTTGTGTGATTTGAAAATAATTCAATACAATTATGTTGTTATAATGGAAAGGTGGTAAACTGGTATTTTTATTTTAGTTGCCTCTGCAGAAATTGCCAAGCATAGCGTTACACACTATTTGCCTTCCCCCCCCCCCGACAATTGCTCTAGAGAGTAGGAAATGCCATTTTGGCTTATTTTACTATTGTGAACATCCCTTGGGCTCAGCACAATAGAACTTTCTAGAAGAGGGGACATTAAATCCTCGTTGCACTTTTCACTCTACCATTTACTTGCTGTCTGACTTTGAGTTGAGTTAGTTCATCCTAATGTAAAGGGAAACAAGTACCTTCTGAATAATTCACATCCTTTCCTATGTGAATGGTGCATGAAGAAAAAAGTGAAGACGAGGTACCTACCTTATCTCAGCTATTCACGCATAGCCCAGGAAATAGAGGATAAGATTCAGGCCTTGAAAGAGTACTATTGGAACAAACAAGAAAAATTGTATGTGCAAAGTTTAGTAATTTTTTTTTGCCTGAGTCTAGGTTACATATGCTGTCAGCTGCAAATGGGGTTGTTGAAAGCAGTTGACTACATTAAGCTGAAAGCTAGGATAGAATAATGAATAAAAAGTCCCAAGGAAGATGGGAAATTGGAGGAAGATGTAAATAACACTGTTAATGTCCAAGTGTCTCGGGAACTGAAAGGGGAGAGGAACAGGTCATGACAATTTAAAGATTGGCTTTAAAGAAAGGTTCCTGTAACATCTCTGTAGAGGGAATGAGAATAGGCAGTGAGCTGATGTGAAGACCCTTATACAAAAGTTTCTGTGAATCTGGGCGTAAATATTTCAAATTCCTAGACAAGGTTACCAGCTTCAGCAGTTTGGAGAAATTGTGCTCTTCAGAAAATGTTATCAGAACAAAAGTGGAACAGGGTTACTGCAAGAGGGACATTAAGTATATGGGGATTAGAAGAACTGCTTTGAAATGATACTCAAGCTTTTTCAAGATGGCGTGTATAGTCAGGCAAAGTGTTCTTATACAGAGAGCAATGATGCAACTGCCTCCTGCAATTAATTGCTGGATTATCTTCAACTTGTGAAAATGAAGAGTACTCCTGTAAACTTTGGAGTGACCTTAGAATCACAAGGGAATTATAGATCTGAATGGGCAAGATCGAGATTTTTTTTTCAGATAAAGCCACTAACTATTGAAGATAACAGGAAAATTTATTTAAAAAATGGAGGAAAAAGGAAGAAAAATTATATGTGATGGAAGAAAAACATATAGGATGAGGAGTGACCAGAAATAAAAAGTTAGCTTGGTTTGAAAGAAACAGCATGGGGAAATGGAAACACTTCGGAATCTGACACACTTGGTTGGGCTTTAATTCCAACTTTATGTGACCTTCATTTAGTCACTTTATTTCCCTGAGTTAGTTTTCCACCTGCAATGTTATTATTTGTCAAGGTTATTGTGAAAATTTAAGAAGGTAATTTAGGGGTGGCTGGGTGGCTCAGTCATTAAGCGTCTGCCTTTGGCTCAGGTCATGATCCCAGGGTCCTGGGATCGAGCCCCACATCGGGCTCCCTGCTCAGCGGGGAGTCTGCTTCTCCCTCTCCTGTTGCTCCCCCAGCTTGTGCTCTCTGTCAAATAAATAAATGAAAAATCTTTTTTTTTGTAAAGATTTTATTTATTTGACAGAGACACAGCGAGAGAGGGAACACAAGCATGGGGCGGGGGGGAGGAGAGGGAGAAGCAGGCTTCCTGAGGAGCAGAGAGCCCGATGTGGGGCTCAATCCCAGGACCCTGGGATCATGACCTGAGCCAAAGGAGACATTTAGCGACTGAGCCACCCAGGTGCCCCTAAATGAAAAATCTTAATTAAAAAAAGTAATAAGTTGAAACTTGATAAAGTTTTTTTTTTCCCCCTTTGGGTCCCATGAAGGAGAAACCAGAAGAGAGGCAGTCCAAAAAAGATTGAGATGAAGCTATAAATGTTTGATTTCAGACACATTTATAAAAAAACTTTTAATTCTCATGAAATAGATTTATAGGCTTAAAGAAGTAAGGAGCAATAACTTGAAGCTTGGGAAATGAAATAGTTATTGGGGAAAAGAAAAAGCAATTGAAAAGGAGCATGAACAAACGGGAAATTCAAACATCAGTGAGATATACCTAAATTGGAAGCATAATGAAATGTATGTAAGTGAGGTCAGGGAAACAACCTATATCCAGTTTTTTTGCAAGACTCTAATTTTGGCAGAAAAGGCTGAATTTGTTTGTATGCATGGACACCAGGTTAATGACTCTTCCTACTGATGATCAGTATGAGAGCCTTGCTGATGAGCTAGTTTTCATCAATTATTCAAAAGATCCCTTTGTTCATTTTGTAGGCTGTATGAGCATGAAACTCAAATTCACCATTGTACATCTGGAGCCTAAAAATACTTTACACACCAGTCTCAACTATCGGTCAAATATTTGTTGAATGTATTTTCAGAATCAGGTTTGTATATATGAGTTCACCACCAACTTACCCCAAAAAAGGGAGAGAGGGAAGGTAAAGCATATAAAAGGTCAGTGTCAGTTAAGAATATGGTTTCTTTCCTGCATAAAATAAGGTGATTCTGGAATTTTAAAGATTTTATTTATTTGTCAGAACAAGCAGGGGGAACAGCAGGCAGAGGGAGAAGCAGGCTCCCCGCTGAGCAAGGAACCCCCCCCCCCCCGCCCCATGCAGGACTCCATCCCAGGACCTGAATTAGGTTTTAAAGAAAAAGGATGGGGCTGGAAATAATTACCAGCAACTACTTTTGTTTCCTAGTGACCTAGTTTTCTGTCCGATGAGCTCATTCTAGATCCAGAGACCAGTCATAGCTTTACCCAATACTTTTCTACTATTCACAATTCCTTAATTGTTGACCACCTCAAGCCCCCATCCTTCTCAAGGTTACCAAGTGATTCCTTTAATCCTCACAACCTCAAGGTAAGGATATCCACATTTTAACACATAAGAAAGAAGCTCACCAATTATATAAGCTTGCATCACTACTACAAAAGTAGTTTCTGGGGCCTCATTAAAAGGAATTATTAAGAACAAATATGCACTGGGGTGCCTGGGTGGCTCAGACTCTTGGTTTCAGCTCAGCTCATGATCTCAGGGTGGTGAGATCGGGCCCCACATCAGGCTCCACACTCAGCATGGAGTCTGCTTGAGATTCTCCCTCTCCCTTGCCCTCCTCCTCTGCCCCCTCCTCCCACTCTCTTGTGAGCGCCCTCTCTCTAAAATAAAATATTAAAAAAAA